CCCTGGCACATGGGATTTCGGGTTCCCTGCAAACAGTTGGTCTCCCCTACTAAAAAAAGTAAAGGTTCAGGTAGTGCAGAGCATCCACAGGCTGTGGCCAGCCATGGGGAGCAGTCCGCCAGAGCAAGGGGCCATTGCCCAGTTCTTGGCAGAGCTTGAAGCTCCGTTACAAAAAATAAAGCGGGCCGCACAGGTTAGGGGGCTGGACACAAGCTGGGAGTCAAGGACCATCGTTGGTGATGCCCAGGTGTGTTCCTCACCATGCTCCCAAATCCCTCTCCATAAAATGGTGATGAGTCTTTCTAGCACAAAATGAAGTTATGGAGTCCCCCGTACTGCCCACACATCCCTCCCTACCGAGGGCTGGTGAAGTTGGTGCTCCATCCCCGCCTGCCCAGCCAGCGGGCAGGGCTGACACACGATCGGGGTGACATTGGAGACCTCCTCCTAGGACGGGACAACGTTGCACATAGCAGGCTGCAGCTGATAGTACCGCCACGTTAACCCACTGGAAAAGGAACTCTGGAAAAGTCTCACAGGTTTAGGGGGGCTCAGCCGCTCCTTGGGGGCCAGGTCGGAGCAGTCGCTGCCCTCCAGCAAGTCCCTGTCCCCCTCCATCCCCCTGAGAGCAGCACCAGGGCCACCTGGATAGGAAAAGCCACGCGGCACAGTGGGCCTTCAGGGAGCAGAGGTTGGGGTGCCACCTTCTTGGGGACACACATGCCTACCCTCGACACGAGGTTCAACACCAGCTCTTCAGGCTGGTCTTGGCTGCCTGATTTCAGCCCGTATGGCACAAGCAACATCATCCCTCTGGCACGTGGTGTGACCAAACCTGCCGACCCCACCTGGCTTAACGGAGGGCACCGACACACCATGCTGCCCGCAGCTGCCCAACCAACACGGTAGTGAGCAGACACTGCCGTGTCCCTGTCATGCTGCAATTCAGTGCCTGGCTGAGGCTTCGTGCCAGGGCAGAGCCATAAACCACCCCTGGAGCGGAGCCAGAGGCTGCTGAGAGCAGCTGGAGGTGCCGGCGGCCGTGCATCGGGGCACGCAAGGTTTGAGCAGAGCCAAGCCCTGGCTCACCAACACGTCCCAGTGCAGCCAGTTCAAAAGAGAACGGGGCTGTGCAAACCCCTCTGCACTGTGGGCAGTCGCTGAGCGGGGCTGCACGTCCCTGAGCCACCGCTACCCCCTGAATGTGAAAGCAGCCTGGGCAAGGGGGGACAGGCAGGATGCAAAGCTGCCAGCCAGGCAGCCATGAGCTCACAAGCAGCTGAGGTTCTGTAAAAAGATAATGAAAAAAGTAGTGGATGTGGAAAAAAAAAAAAGGTATCTCTATTTAGGATGAAAATGGGACAGAGCTCCACTTCCCTGCCTCCCCAGCCCTGCCCAATGCACCAGGGCAGTGGGACAGAGCCACCTAATCCCATCGGGGTGCGATTACTGGGGGACAGCTCATCAAGAATCCTTTAATGCCTGCATTATTTCTTGTCATAATGACAAAATCCACTGGATCTTCTGCAGTCCCCAGGTACGTGGCTCATCACCTCTGCCTGTCCCCAACCAAAGCGGAGGGGTTGGCCCTGCCTGGGTATTTTCATAGGATAGGAAGGATTAAATTGTGGGACTGATGAAAACGATATTTCTGCAGTCTTCACCTCCAAACACACTGATGGGGTTGTAGCACCCTCCATTTCACCCTGGCAGTAGGACTGGACAGTGCCCGGCTGCACCAAAGGCTTCACCTCCTGGTGCATACCCAGCCCAGCAGCGAGAGCTCGCTGTCAGGACCGTCACATCTCCGCTCCCTAGCCTGCCTCCAAGCTCTAGTGTAATTAGCAGTGAGTGTAAATAATACAACCAACTAGGTAAATAATGCAAACGACTCAAGTGATATCACTGCCCTAGGATCCTCTGCTGTTACCCAGAAACTGTGATGACAGATGTGTTACAAGAACTCAGTGTAAAAGCTCAGGGACATTAAATCAATGCACAGCACCACGAGCAAGACAGGCCAGCAAAAGACCAGTGCTTCTTTTTGATGCCAATAGTACTATCGGATGGGTTCTGTCAGAAAAGAAGGGCAGAAAAAAACAACAAAGGGGTAAAAAAAAAATTCATAGCATTAATTCATGGGTCCAATTCAACCACGCAGGAGCTTTGCTACAGAGGTAGCAGACACAAGTCAGCACCATCTCGGCTTGCCTGGAGCCCACCCCCGCTTCCCCGGCTGCAGTCCCAGGGATGCTGCTCCTTCTGCCCCAGCCCAGGCCCCTTCCCACCGCGCTTTCCCTGCCCCGGGCACCCGAGGAGTTGGCGCTGCTCCCTGTCACCCCGTTTCATCTCTCCTGGTAAAACACACTTCTGCATTTCTTTTCCTCTTTCTTGTGGTCTCGTGATCACTGAATGGTCTAATTGTTTCCGCACACAGCTAATTGACACCACTGTTTTCTCTTAGCGCCCTACAGACCAAATTGCAGTGTCAAAAATAAGTTGGGTTTAGGCCGCTTCAATTGCAAGTAAGGTTTTTTTCCCCCTCCATATAGATATATATAAACAGTTATTTGTATATCAAAGCCTAGCTTTGGGCTGGATCCTGGGTACACAGCACAATTCTGTTTTAGCGGTGAGATTTTTTTTTCTGCAGTAAGACTTGACTGGGCCAAGCACTTGGAGTCAAAAGCACAAAAGTATTTAAAAAAATTAGGCCGGCCTTACAGCAGAGACAAAACTTACAGGTGGAAGTCAAGTAACTAGGTGTTTACTCATAGCTTAAGTTGCAAAATGATGAGTTCCTTCATGCTGTGCCTTCCACAACCCCTATCACCGTCTGCTCTAGCTAGCGCATCCCACCCCTGTAAAGGGCTCGGAGCTCTTTCCTGGTGACGGCAGTAGACATACACACATACTCAGCTTGGATACCCAAGGAAATATATCATAACGTTACTGTCTCTGCCCAGCCAACACCAGGAGCTCTGAACCCCTTGGCTGATTTCAATCAACGATACAGAAGACGAGCTCGTTAAGCCATCAGTCTCCCATAGCTTTCACAAAAATGCACATTTTGTAGCAGAAAGAAAAAGCGAATGATCTATGCAGTGCCTGGGCTAAACCATACCATGAGTCCACTTCTTATTAGACATCAAAAAATCTGTGTGGGATTTCAAAACGCTTCACTCCAGATTTGGGCTTTATTTAGCCACCAACCTCAGCCAGCCACAAGATATAAATCACAGACAGCCCTGTAAGTATATTTCAAGTGTATTTTGAAGTATAAATTTTTTATGTGTCTATAGATACGTATATACAAAAAGTTAATTTAAAGTCTATTTTAAAACATCAGAATTAGCTACATCTCCCTGAAATCCACAGGCATCCAACCATGACCTAAAGCTTCTAACGACCTGGCAAGAGCCACATGTTCCCAGAGCCCTCTTCCTTGTGTGGCTGGCTTCCAGGAGGCTTGGGAATCACGTCCCCTACTCGAGGGACGGCAGATCTCCAAAGCCTTTCCAGATGTTTATCTTGGCAACCTCAAATTCAAATATTAACCGGTCCAATTAGCAGCCTGACCACATCTGGATCTTGCAGATGGTTACTGTGCACAGGTGAGGAGACAAAACAGGAGCAGGTCCTGCAAGTCAATGAGATCATTCCACCCCTGTCCTACGCACGTGGTGCTGGCTGGCGATCCCCACCTTGGCTTCAAATGCAGCTTTCTACATGTTCCTGTACCAGAGAAGCTCACGTGTTGAATGAACGGCTCGGACCAGCCAGGACGCAATGGTCCAATGCAAGGAGCAGCCACTGGCCACCACGGCACAGCCCTTGTGAGCCAGGTCTGGCCGAGCCCCGGTAGGCTCAACTCAGCGCCGCCCAGGGTGGCTTTGGCAGGGCACATCTTCATGGATCAAGGCTGAACTGCCGACCTCAGGTGGCACCAGCGATCACGCAGATGGCACGTTCTTGGGTGCGGTACAACACCCCAGGGAGTGCTATGCTGACGGAAGCAATATCTTCTATATCCTTACAAGAGAAAAACCTTGAATTATCTTTCCCCCTCTTCTGTCTCAAGCCTTCAGTCGAAGATCTAATCAAATTCAAACTCCTACATCAAGTTTTGCCTCTCAAAATTCTCCTCCACAACATTCATTTGAACTTTAGTAGCGCTGCACCCTTAGAAGAAGATGCATTTTAGGAAGCAGTGAGGAAGCCGCCACGCAAATTGATAGGAGACCTTGACATCGCCAGAATGAA